AACTCAACATGGGACTAGGAGCATAAAAAATATGTAATCTGACCGGTAGTGACTGACCAAAAGAGGCCAAATAGTCTGCAACAAAGTTGCTCTCCCGGTAAACATGGGTTATCAGAACCTCCCATTCCTGATTAAGGAGCCGTCGCGCTGCATCAATCATCGCTCCACAATTTCCAGCAAACTATGGCAAATAACGACGGGTCAATAACCCGACTTCGACCCGCCAGGTAATGCAACGCCAATTTCTGAACATCCGGCTCGAAGAAAACTTGATCCGGCTCATCCTGAAGGATTTCCGACCAGGTTGCCCGCGCATAAGGGCAATCTCGAATGATATGTATGGTTGTCTAGTTCTCGTCGCCGCACACCAGACACTAGGCCATTTGAGAGAGATGTCGACGTCGCCTCTCCGCATTTGTAAGCAGGCGGTTACGAAAAACCGTCCAGAAGAACGGTTTAATACGCTGAGGACCCTGGATACGCCATATAGCCTTCCAAACAGGGTGGAATCCCGGATTGTCTTCTTCATTACTGGTGAGCTGGTACCTGTTTTAATCAAGAAACCCCCTAATGGAGTCAGCTGCCATAGTGGTACATCTGAGCCCCGTTCTTGTGGAGGCGGGTGGAGCTGCAGCTGGAGGATCCACTCCTCTGGTAAGAAAACCGAAGATAATCAGTATTCCATTGCCCGTTCAACACCATGTCTGCCACCGTTAAATCCAAAGCTTTCGCCTGTAGGTTTACTACAAAATCAACAAGTGGTGGTCCGTCCTGCAACCAACAATCTGTCCAAAAGCGCATCTGCATCCCATTTCTCACATTCCACATGGTTCCGAGTGGGAGGAGGTGTAGAACACGAATCACTCCCCATCAAAGATTAGAGAGATTACCTTCAACCCGTGGCCTCCACCCTTCTGTCGTCGCTCGTAGATATTTTGCTCTTATCACTCGATCCCAGAGGGATTCCGGCTCTGTCATGAATCTCCAAGCTCTTTTGAGCATAAAAGCTTCATTCATTCTGGTAGCACTTCGAAGCCCCAACCCACCTTCCTCCTTAGGCTTGTAGACGGTATCCCAGTCAATCATGTGGAGTTTTCTTCCCTGTTCTGAACTCCTCCATATGAAACCCCTGATTTTCTTGTCAATATAGTCTCTCACTCCTGCAGGAAGCTAGGATGTCTGCATGGTGTACGCCGGTAAAGAGGAAAGAACTGATTGAGCCAGCGTAACCCACGCGACCATGAAAAGTGAATTTACCTTCCATCCAGCAAGTCTCGAATCAATGCGATCATGTATGATAGAGACCCCTAGATAGCGACTCAAGTTTGGAGTCTTCGGGATACCAAGAGCGTCGCTGAGACTGGTGCTAACGGTAGCCGACACGTTTTTCGAGAAGAACACTCTCGACTTTGGTCGACTCACTTGCTGGCCCGATGCAACCCCGAAATCGTCAAAACACTGGTTTATCGCTTGTACCTGGCCTAGCGAAGCAACACCAAACAAAATCAAATCGTCAGCAAAGAACAGGTGTGATAGGGCTGGCCCCTCCCTAGACAGCCTGATCGGTTTCCAAGCACCTCCTTCCACCGCTGCATTGATTAAGTGACCCAATCTTTCCATGCACAATGTGAAAATATACGTGGATAGGGGGCAACATTGGCGCAGTTCTCTCGACGGCTCAAAAGTATTAGTGAGGTCACCGTTCCACTGTATTTGCATTCTGGCTGTAGTGATAGAGCTCATGGTTAAGTCAATGAAGCTCCTAGGTGCCCCCTCAGCTTCTAAAGTATCATGCACAAAGCTCCACTTGATACGATCATAAGCTTTGGACAAATCAATTTTCAGGACCATCCAACCCTCCAGCCCCCTTTTAGCTCGTAGCGAGTGGATTTGATATGCCGACCCGGGACAAAGCTCGTCTGCGTCTCATGTACAAATCGAGTCATGATGGCTTAATCCTCTCTGTCATACATTTTGTAATCGTCTTGTAAGTCACATTCCAAAGGCTAATGGGTCGGAAATGATCAATCGTGACCGGCCTCTCCAACTTAGGAATCAGGACCACGATTGTCTCGTTGATCTCCTTCACCCGAGCTGGCTCAACCCAGCAAGCTTGCACGAACTCGACCACTGCGTTCCCGACATACTCCCAAAGCTGCTGAAAGAATAACGGATTGAGCCCGTCCTTCCCAAGGGCCTTGAGAGCACCCATGGATTTGACTTCTGCCGAGATCTCTTCCTCCGTAAACTGATTGTCGAGAGGAAGCCACATCGCCTCAGGTAATAAATCAAAAGACCTCGGTATGCTCTGGATTGGGGCCCCATCATCTGTGTATAGTTGTTGGTAAAAAGCTCGTGCCATCTCTAGGAGTTCCAGCTGCTCCTCCACCCATTCACCGACGCCATTTTTCAAAGATACAATGTGATTCCTGCAACGACGGTTTATAGTTCTTGCATGGAAGTACTTCGTGTTCTTATCTCCCGAGGCTATTCACTCCAGCCTCGACTTCTGATACCACAAGAGCTCCTCTTCAAGGAGGATCTCCTCGAGCTCTTCTCTAGCTCGGTTAAGTTGGGTCGAGACATCAACTCTCCCTTCTCGCAGCTCCAGGCGTTCTATCCTAGTAAGAATAACATTATTTTTACGTAGGATATTACCAAAGACGAGCATGTTCCAACGCTTGGCCTCCACAGCAAATTCTTTAAAGGTCGCCGATGATTGTTTTCTTTCTCTCCTCATGTCCGAAGTAAGATCTAGAAAACGAGTCCAAAACAGGAATGGGAGAAATGAAACCATAACCAAGATCCAAACTGAAAACATAGGGGAAAAAATCAACGGGATTGGAAACCTTACCTAAATAATCCATTTCCCCCCATCCTCTATAGTCCCTCTCCTTGGCCTGTACGCCCCATGAAGCCAGGACCACAGGAGACCGTGTTCTTACCTCTTCCAAAACCCAAAAACACAGAAAGATAATAAAATAAAATAAAAGAAGCAAAGCAGATGGTCAGAACTTAGAACCCTAAGGATCTTAAAACTGAATTCAAACCTGGAAATCCGACATGCAAGCACAAATACAATTCTTACCCTCTTTTTCATCAAATTCGCTCGTGTTAATTTTTGCCGTTTCTAGGTACCAGAAAGAAGTGAGAAGGAGAGGGGATACGAGAATGCATTTCAGAAGCGAAAGAAGAGATAAGACGAGAAAGAGGGAGACGAAGGGGGACAGAAATCATGTGAGGGTGGGTGGAACTAAGTTCATGAGTTCGATAATACTTACTTAGTGAAGATCTTCTCTTTAATTACGTTTTAGCATTCTTAATACCTAAATTTAAACGTGATCGAATCTTTAGTTTATGATTAGTCTTATTACTCCTATACTCTAAGAGCATCTAACATTTGGCCCTTTTTAGATTATTAATTATGTTATGTCATCGTACTCATTTTCCCTAAACAATCATTTCAACGAGATCTTGGTCAATAGTCCGTGATGGTCTCATAAATAAAAATTCCTCTAAAATCGTTAATTTTCCAATAAAAATTCATCAGCACGCTTTTATTCATGAATGGCTAGTACCAAACCTTAACCACGAAGCAATAGTACATGTTTGGTTTTGTTTTTCAAAAAAAAAAAAATAAATAAATAATAATAATAATAATAATAATAATAATAATAATAATAATAATAATCAATTAAGATCCAACTACGTGGACTTTGATCTTGGATATTCGGTTACGTATGCAACCAATAGGTTACAGTCCAACTAACAAAATTTCTTTACTTTTAAAACAATCCTAGTCTAAACGAATTGAATCATATAATTAAACATGAATAAATAAAGCCAAATAATTGAACACCAAACCCTTTAAAAACTTGTCGACTTAGGTAATGCCAATTCAGGGCATTGTGGGAGTGTTTAAGGTACCAGAAGGTATAATTGATGAGATCCATAGTATGATTATGAGGTTTTGGTGGGGACAAAAGGGGGAGGAGAAACGAATTCCGTGGATTGCTAGGGAGGAGTTGATCGCGCCGAAGCAAGAGGGAGGAATGGGTTTTCGAGACCTCAGGGGCTTCAATGTAGCGTTGTTGGCTCGACAGATGTGGAACCTGTATCAACGGCCATCCTCGCTGGTTGCTAGAATAATGAGAGCAAAATATTACAAGAAAAGCTAAGTGTTGGATGCATCCCTAGGATACCGGCCAAGTTATGTATGGCGGAGCCTAATGGGGGTGCAGGAATTCCTTTTTAACGGTCTGCGATGGAGGATAGGCAATGGCGCTTCGGTACGAATATGGGGAGATAGGTGGTTGCCATCGACGCCTGGTTATATTATTCAGTCGGCTCCGATGGGGTTGCCAGTGGATTCGGTGGTTCGCGAGTTGATCGAGGAGGAAACTGAACAGTGGGATGATACGTTGCTTGAAAGCTGTTTTCCTACAGCAATGGTCGACGCCATCCACCAGATTCCGCTTCGAGGGTCGACCGAGGAGGACCGGCGGGTATGGGCGGGAAGTCGGAATGGTGACTATTCAGCTCGAGAAGGTTATAGAACATGGTTGGAGGAGTTCAGGAAGGAAAGGGGACGTGTAATGGTGGGTGAACCTAGCATATGGAAACGCTTATGGTCGTTGTAAGTTCCACCTAAGGTTCGGGTCTTCATGTGGCGGTTTGCTCGTCAATCTCTCCCTACAGGTGATCACTTAAGCGAGAGAAGCCCACGGCATGGGGACAGTTGTCCTTACTGCAACTTAAGGGAGACTCAATCCCACTTGTTTTTTGACTGTTCTTGGACGAGGCGGCTTTGGCGTGAGTCCCATGTAGCTCACTGTTTCATGCTGAAAGGGACGCGCGATTGCTTGGAGTGGTTTGCCCATGTTGGCGAGAGTGTCTCGGATGGGGAGCTGGAAGATTGGTGCATGCTCCTTTGGATTATATGGAGGGAACGTAATGCGCATGTTTTCAATGGCACGAAGCTGGCGGAGGAAGATATACTGATGAAGGCGTGCTCTATCCTTGATGAATATCGGCAGCGCCAAGATCGGGAAGAGGTAGTTGCTGGTGTACAGTCCGAAGGAAGATGGAAGCGGCCAATAGAGGGGAGGATCAAAGTTAATACGGATGCTGGTTCGTTTACAGATGGCGGAGGATTAGGCGTGGTCATCAGGGATCATGCGGGACGCTTCCTGTTGGCTGCTGCGAAGAAAATTAGAGGAGTTCCCAACCCGGAATTAAATGAAGCCTTGGCGGCTGAATTGGGGTTACAACTGGTAATACAACACAGGCTGGGAGTGCCGATCCTTGAGCTGGATTGCTTAACAGTGGTTAAGTCCATAAGAGAAGCAGAAACGATACATACGGAGCTGGGGACGATCTGCCAAAGTATAAGACGACTGTTGGATTCGATCCCGGGTGGAAGCATTGAGCATGTTAGCCGGAAGGCGAATGAAGCTGCGCATATTATGGCCCATTCAGAGACAAGATGGAATATGGCGGAGGTTTGGTTTGATCGCCCGCCCATTTTTCTAGTTGATCAACTGAGACTTGATGATGTAGTTATGCCCATAAATCAATAAAGCTCCGAGCAGATTTTAGTAAAAAAAAATTTAGGGCATTGTGGGGTGTGAATACACTTCTCAAAACCAACCCAAAATCCTAGAATTCACAAACTAGGTCACGGTTTTTAACACCTAAAGTTAAAAGTGATGAAGAGTGTTTTATTCACTACAAGTATGATTAATGGCAACTCAGAGCATGACGCCATCGGCCCCTGATTTTGAGGGACAGTTGCAACAGTATCACTCTATATATCAGGACTATATGGCAGTAATAATACTATGACCATCACATGTTTTAGAGGAATAATTTTTTGTCTCAAAATATAACAAAATAGAAATTATTATCTACATTGGCGGACCCAGGATTCTTAGAGAGGTGTTTCAATAATAAATTTAATTTGAATCATATGATATAAATAGTTAAATAATATGATATTTGAGTTCAAGCCGATCTCACACGAGCTAATTGGCGAGCTGAACTCGAGTAGAGTTCGTGAGCTCATTAATGAACCGAACTCAAGTCGGATTTGAGTAAAAAATAAACTAAAATTTCAGTAAACATATTGACCTCGAGCGCACCTTGTTTATTAACGAGTTTAGTGAAAATTACTTCAATACCCAGTCAGACTCAATTCCCAATCTACGCATATTTGGGTATTCAGCGCGGGAGAGGATGGCGGTGATTGCATCACCGCATGAGAGGATGGTGGTGAGTGGGCACTGATTGAATCACCGTTGTAGAGGAAGGGGGTGATTGCATCACCGCTATAGAGAAAGGCGGTGAATGCTTCACCACATTACAAGGCCGCGGTGAACGCCTGACCTGCATCGAAACTTTAAACAAACGTACTTTTGTGCTCAGTTATCCGATCGTTTGTTTAAAGTTTCGACGCAGGTCAGGCCTTCACCGCGGCCGAGTAACACAGTGAAGCATTCACCGCCTTTCTCTACGGCTGTGTTGCAATCCCTGCCTTTCTTTACAGCGGTGATGCAATCACCGCCCTCCTCTCATGTCGTGGTGCAATCACCGCTCTTCTTTCATGCAGTGATGCAATTACCGCCTTGCTCTGCCGCAGTGAAGGCCCAAACATGCGTAGATTGAGAATTTTTTTCATAACGTGTGTATTTTGAGAATTTTTTTTAAAAACATGTGTAACTTGGGATTTTTCCACAATAGAGTTATGTCGAGATGTCTTGTGTTCGAATTTTTGCACCGAACAACCTTATTTTCTTATCGAATTTTTTTCCGGAGGTGTCAATTGACACACCACACCCTATAACATAGGTCCGCCTCTGATTATCTATATACATATTAATGTGTTATATCTAGTTGTAAGAAAAAAATTAAACTCCAAGTCGAAAAGAATGAGATATGAACATATTAAGAAAATATGAGAATACAAAATGTAAATTTTGATTGGTCAAAAATATCATAAAAAAGGCTTAGATAGTCACTTAATTATAAAGTGACCCTATTTTCCTTACTTTTCAATTACCTCTTACCTCTTACCTTTTTTATTTTTCTTTATCAATCTTTTTCATTGGTAAGCAGTTATGATGTTGCCTTGTGTCTTTTTCTTGTCCGTTTTATGCAGAACTTTCTTCTAACGCATAGTAAGAAAATATGAGAATATAAAAAGTAAATTTTGACTGGTCAAAAATATATCAAAAGAAAAAAGGCTTAAAACGTAACTTAGTTATGATGTAGCCTTATCTTCCTTACTTTTCCATTACTTCTTGTCTTTTTCTTTCTCTATCTTTTTCATTGGTAAGCCGTTATACTGTTGCCTTATGTTCTATTCTAGTTTGTTTCATGCAAATTGTTTTTCTGACGCATATTAAGAAAATATGAAAATAGAAAAAGTGAATTTTGACTGGTCAAAAAAATCTTAAAAGAAAAAGGCATAAAACGTCACTCAATTATGATGTAGCCTTAGTTTCCTTACTTTTCCATTATTTGTCACATTTTCCTTTTTCTTTCTCTATCTTTTTTATTGGTAAGCCGTTATGATGTTGCCTTATGCCCTTTTCTTGTCCGTTTCATGCAAAACTATCTTCTGACACGTTGAATCGTACAAGAAGATTTTCTTATAAATAGCAAAACCAAATACGAAGACAATAAAATACTTGAGAAAACATAAAACTAAGATATAGAACTGCCTCTTTCCCCTTAAGTTTTCCAAAGATATGGCTAAGTCTTCTTTACTATGCTGCTTGTTCTTCCTTCTGTTAATCTCCTCCTCAGGTAAAATTGATTACGAAAAATATGATAAACAATCAGGTGTAGATGAATGTATATCATTAGTTAATTTATTTCCTACATACAATTACTTATACTTGTGTGATGACTATAAAGGTGGTGGAAAGATGGTAGCGGAAGCTAAAGACTGTGGGGTGACATGGGATTGCACCACTGTAGATCGCTGTTGGGATGACTGCAAGAGCCGCTATGGCGGAATAGGACGTTGTGACCACATCCCTTCTCCTTTTGTTCCTAGGCAGTGTAATTGTTCTTATAAATGTTGAAGTGGAAAAAAATTATCCATTATCAATAAGTCATACCAATAAGAAATATGTCATTCGTAATAATATATATAGTAATTGGTAACACCAATGTGTATGCGTATTAATGCATCACAAACCTTTTCTTCAACTCTTCCCAAAGAGTTGTGGCATTCTAATGTTGCATCATTGTTCTCTTTATCAGTGCTACAAGCATCTCGCGAACCATACTTAGGGTCACTTAGATCTGCAATAGGGATGGGATCCATCGATGAACCCAATCTTATGTTTAGTTTTCAAAGCCATTCTAATTGCTCACTGTTGCATATGGTAATTCACACCATCTATATTTTTATACATAATTTACTACATGATATTTTCGTTCACATTAATATAATTGGGGTTACCAAACAATAGATCTTGATGCCCATTTGTTGATATTTCTGTTGTTGTTGATTGTGCTTGATTGCACTTCACGAGTACAAAACTGTGTGGCACCAGAACTCAAGGGAATTCCATTAGTAGATCAAGGTAGTGGAGCTGTTATTATCGAGGTCATTGAATTTGTTCCAACTTTGATACAATATAGAGAAGCTCTGAGAGCTAGGGTTATGAGAATGAAAAAGAAGGTTGTATGGTTGTTGGAACCCCGCAATAGAGGAAGTTACTCTTTTGCTCTGTATATATATTGGTAAATACAATTTATTAACCAAACCTTTCATTTTAAACAAAACAATAGCCAAATCTTAGCAAAAATAATTTATTAGCCAAAGTGTTAGCTTTCAATCCGGTCAACCATTAGTTGAGTCTGATGCGGCAAAATATTAAATGAGATGGATGAATTTTTGATGATGTGGCAAAAAGTCAAATGTTTGACTATCTGACACATAGATATTAGATAATTTTAACAATTAATTTTTATTTTTAGAAAAATGAATAAACTAAAACTCATTAAATAATAATGATCAAATTAAAAATGTTTAAATTTCTACTGGAAAATTAAATCCACTAATTAACCTACCCAAACCTTACCCAAAGTCACGGCTCTCCTGTCGCCGCCGTAAACGTCCTCTCTTCCTCCACCCAGCACCACCACATCCACCTACCCTTCACCTCTCTCTCACTGAAATTAAAACACCCTCCATGCCAAGAGACAGACGCGATAAGGAAGAGACCGGGTCATACGAGCTGTTCTATTTCTCCGCTACTACTCTTTTCTGTTCCACATTTGTTGCACCACTTCCCCTATAATCACTCTAGATTGTTAGACACATATGTTAACTCACTTGTATATAATAGTGATTAATAATAATAGAAACTCAGTGTATTACCTGAGATTTCATGGTATCAGATCCCAAAGCCTAAACGGAAAATCAATCCCCCCTCTTTTCATCTCGGCTGTCAATCTCCCATTTTCTTTTCTTCCTCTATCTCCTTGCTCTCTTCGTTCTCCATGGTGACTGAAACCTCCTTCCCAACCACCTCTGGATCTCTTCCCCCTTCTGGTACTCTCTTTGTTTCTCTTCCCTCCACACCCCAAATTTCTATCAAACTCACTCCCACCATCTCTTGTGGAAGCTTCAACTACTACATCTTCTCTATAGATTTGATCTAGCTCAATTCATCAATCAACCATTGTTTTAATTCATTGGGAAGAATCCTATGTTTTGAATTCAAAATAGATTATAGACGTAAGTATGATTTCTATGTATATTCTTTCGAAATTGAAATTTCGGATGTTGAATTTTTTTTTATTAAGAAGGAAATTCGTGGCTTATCTCCAATCCCGTCTTGCCATCTTCACGTCGTCCTTCCCAACCCCGTCTAGCTACTGCTTATGGGGTTGCGAATCGCCCTACTCTCCGCAACCTCAAAGATAGATTCGACGCCCTCACTTGCGGATCAGACTCCGTCGACAACTACCTTGCTCGTGCCAAAGACATTGTTGATCGCCTGGATACTCTTAATTAGCCTGTGTCTGATGATGATCGCGTTTCTCACTACCTCAAAGGTCTCGACGAATCTTTTCTTCCGTTCGTGCGCGTCCTTGAAGCTAGACCCAAGACCCTTTCTGTCGACGAGTTCTATGGTCTCCTCCTTAACGAAGAATCTCGTCTCCATCAACACAACCTCCTCGCCGATGACTTATATCCTTCATCTAACTAGAGTCGCTCTAGTTCTCGTGGCAGTGGCGAACGTGGGCGGTCATCTTCTCGTTGTGGTGGACGCGACCGACGACAAAGGGATGACCGACTCTATTCTCCTCACCAACCAGGCCTCCCTTTCCCACAAGCAGTATCTCGCACCACTTCCCAACATGCCCTTCTTGTGCTAAGGCCCATTTCTAATCTTTCTTTCTTTTGCAGGTTCCAATCCAATGTAGTGTTACACATGCCACGATTTTGGTCACGTAGCCCAACAATGTCCCACCCTAGCTCACCCATCTTGTCACCATTCCTTAGCTCACCTTGAAACAACCCTGACCTCTCAAGAGTGGTTCCTAGATTCTGGTTCCAATTATCATCTCACGTTCGACCTCAACAACCTTGTACTTCATTCCGAATACAATGGTCTTGATGAAGTGTCACTTGTAGGTCTTAAGTCCTAGGATACTGGATTAGACACTTGATAAATATTTTCTTCCTTCCGAAGAATGTTATTAATGAGGTTGAGAGGATTTGCAATCATTTCCCACTCAGATACTAGTTTGAGGACTAGGGCTCTTGTTTCTTTGAATCTTATAGCTCGTCCTAAGAAGGAGGGAGTACTATTTTCCATTGGAATGTCTCTGGGTTGTCTGAGTTACAAGATATCGACTCAAACAAACGTTATTTGGAGGCGTTTGTTAAAGTGTCGCAGTGTGATTCAGCCTCATATAACTGGATAAGGAGTCACTCTGCTTTGGGATGGGGAACCAATGTCTCTTTATTTATTCTTTGGGTAGCTGTGATGGAAAGATTGAGAACCCAAGACAAGCTTCTTGCTTGGTAAAATCAGCATCGTGATTCTATGTTTTGTGCCCGAGGAGTGGAGACTTGTTTCCACCTATCCTATGTTTGCCTCAGTTGTAGGTCTTAAGTTGTGGGAATAAGTTGTTAAATGGTGTTCCTTTTGCTGGAAAGGAAAGTCTTCAAAATGGTCTTTGGCAGAGCAACTTGGAGTCTTGCTATCAGTCTTATTTGGTTGGAAAGATGCTCGAGAATGTATGGGGAGCATGCTGGGAGGTCCCCTTAGTTAGTGAGCGTTTGACTCTGCAGGATTCTGAACTGGAAGGCTGAAGCTGATAAGTTGTTGCAGGAGAGTCTCTTCGCGATCGGATTGGGTAGTTGCTAGTAATTATATGTATATGCTTTTCTGATCCGATGGAAAGTTTGTATATTTCCGAGCGCTCAAGGGGTTTCTTTCCTTTGAGTAGTTTGACCTTAATGCAATTTTTTATTAACCATAAAAAAAATGATGTGGCAGACATGTGGCATAAAGTGGTGAGTTGGAGCTGACGTGGGAGTTGATGAGGTAGGCAGATCAACGTCTCGTTAATTTTATTGACATTGTCTTTAACATCGGAAAAGTTTGTAACGAAAATGGCGAGATTTGTCATACAACTATTCAAAATTTTGGCTATTTTGTGTATTTCTAAACAATTCGCTATTATTGTCAAAAAACACAAAAGTTGTGACTATACAAGTGTATTTTGCTCATCTTTTACACTTTTTGGTTTGGGTTCTCGTGTATACAAGATTTCAGCGATTGGGCCGCTGCTTGTGGCATGTTCGATATCACAATAATAGGACCATCCGGTGAGGAATCGGCTGGACTTGCAAGTAGATGGATTACGGTCATATATTGATTGGGTGGGTCGGTTTTGTCCACTCATAGCCACCCAAATCCATTGGTCACTGGCTCACGGGTAAAGTAATAGATGACCCAAACCTAATCATTAAACACTTGAAACCCTATATGAGTTTGGGTAGGAAATGGGTCGGCTTCGATTGGTTCAACCCGTAAAGTTTAATGAAATGTGCACATTTGAACATCTCTTAAAAAATTTTAAAGGACTTTCATATTTGACCCCATGCCACGTAATCCATTCTGAAACCTAAACGTATCCACGTCATCCACCCTACTTTCCCTTCAGCGACACTTATTCCGGACCGCCATTCTTATATTCTAACTTTCGCTACCAAAACTCCAAAAAATATCACATCCTTCAAACTTCTAATTAACCGAGAGCGGTTATGGAAGAGGCGTTCAAATTGTTTGCCCTCAACGCGGTGGGTGGCGGCACAGTAGCGACGTCCGGAACGACATTAACGAAGCCACAACAGCCCGTAGAGCGTCTTTTCTATTCGGCAGGTAATCCGGCGAGCCGGCGACAGAGGCAAAAGAGGAAGGAATTGCGATTCCGAGAAACGGAACCATTTGATGGAGATAGTCTTATCGGAAAGGGTTCCCGACGAATCGTTTTCTTATGGAAACACTCTCATCGAAATCAGAGTTGTCGATGTACAAAACAGAGGACATAGTGACGTTGCACGCCGCCTGGAGAAATATATGACGTGGGTTACAGCGGGGACATCCTGGTGGTGGATGCCGCCGGGACTCAGATCCCGAAATGCTATTTTCTTGAAACTCACGTCGCAGGGGATTTTGGCACAAGCGGTCATGAATTGACACCTTCATCCACTCCTGCTTCATTAGACAACATTGCACTGTCGGCGAAAGCGTGGTGAGAGGTACTATTCCGGCATGGGGACCGATATGGCAGGGGACGTACGTCACCAAGACAGTGATTTTCTCCTTAGGGTTCTGTTGAGTGGCAAAGGCAACATTCTGAGAGAAGTTTACGCACACTTACAACTAGGTTTGGATCTTTGTTGGGATCGGTTTTGGTCTAAGTTAACACGGACTACAACCGAATAGCCAACTGCTTTGTCGACCGAAGAGGAGGAAGGAATCACGATTCAATGTGGGGAGAAACAAAATCAGATGATGGAAATGAAATGGCAATTGCGGCAGCCACATCG